ATATTACAGTATTTGTAGACTGAATATGACAGTATTTGCAGACTGAATATGACAGTATTTGCAGTCTTCAATTACTGTCAACAACATCAACTATATATTTTTTGTATCTGTATATCAGTCCACTACCCTGAAAAAATATGGGACTGCATGTTCCTTAATATTATTAATAATATACAGATATTTACCCAGAAAGTATATATTTGTTGTATATGTATATCAGTCACCTACCCTGAAAAATATTGAACTGCCCCTTGATAAAATATTAATAAAAAGCAGATATTTATGCACAAACTAAGTGACAACAATGAGCTGCCAAGGACAAAGTACAAAGTAGTTAATCAACATATTACATGTAAAGCATATGACTGGATTAAATAGGTGTTTACAATTACTGTGCAGCCACTAACTAATTATATTAATGGGTTTTATTTTCACTTATTTCAGTGAGGAGATAAATTAAAACCCATTTTAACATTCAAATTAAATCTTAGAATTTGAAACCTTTTAAATATATGTGTCACATCACATCCACTCAGATTAAACCCACTGAATATTTCTCCTTCAACTATACTTGAGGTTTTTTTCAGAATTAAGTGATCAATATACAATCTACTAGTGTATTTATATTTTGTCTAGCATATAGTCTATTTTTAACATAAATATACATTTTTATGACAAGAAGATTCTTTTCAATCTGAAAATAAAATAAAATAATGACACATCATGAACATAATAAGCTGACTCCCCTACAAAATTATAGACTGTTCCCGCAGTATTGATAACCCATCTGTAAGATTCCGATTTTGAGATCCTTGAGACGTTAACTAGCCATCATAATATTCAAATTCAGTCTTGCTTCTCAGCTCACCTGCTTAAAATTTACATGACCTATATACATTCACTGACGTTTGTATCTATTAGCATAATTTGTGAGTCTGACATTGGTGAAGTGAGCGTGAAATCCGACATCTCAGTCCTGTGCACTGATAAGATTTCTGCAGGTAGGGCTAATTTATTCAGATATGTTTTGATTTCTGTTTTTTTCTTCTTTATTACATGTACTTCATATTGATGTAATATTTACTCACATGGTGAAGCCAACATATGTACTGTGCCTGTCATATCACAACACAATACGGTTGATAATTTAAAGAACCGAGCTGTATGTTCACAGCATACTCTAACCTATCTATCAAATCCTTAAATCTTTAATAGCTGCGGTATTTAATCAATGACTATATTAAGTGTTTTCTTTCTTTACAGCAGCTGTTTTTGAACACATATACGTGTTATTCTATTGGAATTATGTAAATATGAAGTGATATAGGGTGTCCTTCTAAAAAAAAATATATAAATAATCCAATTTGTACTTAAGTGATCCTGTGCTGCTTGTTTGTTCAATAGATTTAAATTCATTATTTTTGACATTTACCGTTAATTGCGCCAAATTATCAACAGGTTAAAGGTGAAGCATAAAATTAAGACATGATTCTTTTAATATGTTCCTTAAAAACACTATATAATAATGTTTCATTATTTCTTTGGCTCATTTCATCTCGGTACATACTTGAACCTCGCATGATTGCTTTGATCCACAATCTTATCAATTACAAATATTTTTTTAGTTAATCTTTTTTGAAGAGCATTTTTAAATAGTGTAATTAATTCTGTAATTAAAGTATTGTTTAATTTAAAAATTTATTTCTTAAAGATTGACACTGTAACCGTTGTTTACAAATCACTCAGCCTCCTCCAAGCCAGCAGCCAGAAAACAACCCCTATATATATTATACTTATACAACCTATGTTCACACCAATATCTGTATTATTTGGGGATTATATTCAAGAGAGCCCAGTACTAATTTAAAAACAAAATTGATAGAAATAATTATTTTACCACAAAAAACGGTAAAATATATAATCAGCAAGACATGGTGGGAAATTTTGTGGTCTATGCTGTCAAACATTTTTGGTAATGTTTGTACTGTAATGTTTTTCCCAAAAAAATATCGTCTCCCATCCAACTCCTAAATGCACAAAAAACACAACAAACTGAATATATATTTAGTATAATACTTCATTTACCGTTCTGTCAATGAATTACTATAATATACTAGTCTTCACATAAGAGTACCCAGTAAATGAGAGAATGTATTGACTTGTCATGGTATTTTTATTGTCATTACATTAGTTTGTTTTCAGGACTGTTATTTATTTATCCATTCATCGTATTTTTAAATAATATTTTATTTTATTAATTTCAAAATATTGTAACTGTTTATATATTTCACTGAAGACATATCAAATTCTGCGAATCTGATAAAATTGTGAAATATTGTAGTAGTAAAATTTCCCTGGGTGTTCTTGTTGAAGTAACTTGTAAAATTTAGCTATGGTTAAAATTAAATTGAAAATATCTCTACCATCGAAAAATATTTAGTTTACTGTTATTTTGCAACGTCTATTTCATTGAAGCCTACAAAATTCCACAAATATATTTAATTATATATTAATTACTATTATACTGTAAAATATTTTCGCTAGGAGTTAAATTTCGTTATTATCGCTGAAGGAATGATTCAGTAAAAATAAAATCCAGCAAACATACCTTTTTTTCTATATTTTTCATTCAACTCGTCAGAAATCAGTGAAAATAAATTGCATACAAAACACCCTTAAAGGGTTTTCAGCGAAAATTAATTCCAGCTAAAATAAAGTATTTTATAGTAATTACTTTTACTTAAAACAGCTGTATAAACATTTATGTCATAATTTTTTGTCTTAGACTCCACAAAATATTATGAAAAATGTTTTGTCACTTCTTGCTGATTTGTTTCTCCGCTGTAAATAGTGAATGTAAATTTGAAGTGAAAACGTGTTTATATGCACGCTGAATCATTCAATGTTAGCCTCCAGATATTTTAAGGGCTTTCAAAAGAGTAAATTTAGTGGCATTACTGTAAATCTGTTTCTAGGTCTCAAGTGAAATATTCTGTGTCACAAAATTGTGTGATATGCCTTGGCAGGTTAAAATTTGTACCTCATCAATTTAAAAAGATTTACAACCATACTTTTTGATAGAGCTTTATTTAACTAGCGTGAGCATGTAATTTGCAGTATTCTAATCTGTAGAGCAAACGACCAGAATAATTTTTTTTTCATTTCCTGGACTGAAAATGTATCTTTTTTTAAATTTTCAGACTAGGAAATGGGAAAAAATTATAAAAACTTGAAGGCGTACATGTATGTTTATATTCTGTATGTAATACTCTATTTGTTTTTGGAATATATTGCCAGCCACTCATATTTTATTCCACATGTTGTGAGCAATATTTGAGACATAATGGCAATCATTTTATTTCCAGTGCAGAGTTCAAACCAAATTCAAATTTTGTAATCTGCACATGTTACTGAGCATATGCGCAATATTGCATTTTGCGAAAAGGCTCGTAATTGAATAATGGAAAACAAAACACACTGACAACTCACTGAGTTAAAATTTATTTTTGAGATGTGAAGAAATACTTGTACACTTTAGAAACTAATTCAACTATTAAGGTAGTTTAAGCACAATTCAAATTAAGCACTACTGAGCATGTTACTGAAATATATATGCAATGTATTATGGGAAAGAACTTCCCATTATATTTAATGGGGAACTAGCTATTATCACCCTGGTAACTCCCTAAATTATATATCAATTTTTTCACAGTTCATATCTGATACTTTACGACTTTTTCATTCCATATCATCAAGCAAAACTGTTAGATGTGAAGAAATAATTCTGCCATAGAAACCAGTATAACAATTTTGACCATTTTCCATCATATTTATATCTCATGAAATCATCTTGTGACCCAAATTTGTTTTTCATTTTTCTTCATCATGATGGCATAACAAAAATATGAAAAAACATAAAATGGTATGTCACTCTTTAAGCAGAAAAATTCATTTATTCTTTTTGAATTATAAATATATTAGATGTATATTATAAGTACAAAAAATAAAAGCTAAAACAAAATCTTAAATTATTGTGTTGCTTGATATATTCTCTATGTACAATCTGATTTAGAAAAACTATATTGGTGATAGTGATCATAGGTAATATTGTCAGTGAAATTGGATTGATGTATTTCCATGGCAACAAGAATCGGTACAATGCAATCTTTTTCTTGTATTCAAATCAGGCTCAGTATGACTTTGCTGAAAACACACAATATAAAGTTATCGGCCTTTTGTATAAACGTAGTAATTAGAGTGATTCTCTAGATCGTTATAAATGAGGTACACCCTAAAGTCGCATCTGTTATAGTGAATGAATCTCAGTTAGTGTACGTCTTTGGTCACCGACCGCATTGCTGCAGGTTAATTTTTGATGTTTTGAATTCTGGTGTTGTATTTTGTACGTTGAAAATTGTTGGGCATGATAATTCTGTAAACCAGAATATGCAGTGACATGTTGAGATAGTATCTGATCAGTGAATGTGAAATATGCGTGCTTATATAAAAAAATATAATGCTAAAATTTCGTCAAAGAAATTTGAGCGAGCCAGTAAAAATTTCTCTTGGGGTACGTCCTATGCCACTGTC